GTAGAGCTCTTTTCCATGATCTAGACTGTCTCAGAGATGCGTCACTGATAAACATGATCGGTTTTATTAAAAGCACCGGCTGGTTTACATGGAGACCGAACGAACCAAGTAGTCAACGAAATTAGGGAGGGTAACCATTCTATCATTGCAAGGGAATGGTAATTCTAAGGGTATCACAATGGGCCACAAGGCCTCCGAGTGAACTCACTTGCTAGCGAGCAACCCACGTAACCTAACCTAACCTTTATCCAGTCTTTATAGAAAAATTTGCTCTAGTCTAGAGCCATATTTTATAGAAAAGCTTGCTCTAGTCTAGGGCTAAGTTTAATAGAAAAACTTGCTCTAGACTAGGGCCAAGTTTTCTAAAAAACTTGCTCCAGACTAGAACCAAATTTTATAGAAAAACTTGCTCTGGTCTAGAGATAAGATTTATATAAAAACCTTCTCTAGTCTAGAGTCAAGTTTTGTAGAAAAACTAGCTCCAGTCGAGAACAAAGTTTTATAGAAAGACTTGTTCTAGTGTTAAGAAAAGTTTTATATAAAAACTTTTTTTATTCTAAAGCAAAGGTTTCTAGATCAAAGTTTTATAGAAAAACATGATCTAGTTTTATAGGGAATTTTACTCTAATCTAGACCAAAGATTTATAGAAAATTTTGCTTCAGTCTAGACTAAAGATTTATAGAAAATTTTGCTCCGAAGTTTTATAGAAAAATTTTTACAAAGCAGCACAAATTTTATATTTCTGTCCTATTGTCTCCATTTGCTCATTTTAGGGTTTAAACGACACTTTTACGGTTGTTAAATTTTTGTATGCAAATTTCATATTTTCTATTGTTCTTCATCTTGTATTTTTGTCTATATGTATTTTAATTTCTTCATTTATTTGTGGCATATAATTGAAATTTATTTTACTATTATTTATTCCATTTTTGACTAAACATGACTTCTAAAAGGTAAATTGAATAAAATTTGACATACATATAAATATACATTAAACATTTGGCTTTTATAGCAATTATATTAGATTTCTATAAAAAATTCAATTATTTGCAATTTTTAGGCATAAATTATAAAAATAAAAGATACAATTTTAAAGAAAAAAAAACTTTGAGTATATAAAGTTTATGAAATATATCTTTCGAATATGAACATATGAATTCTAATTTATCTATGGGCTACCATAATTTTTTATTCTCGAACATTAGCAATGCTAAAATTATCATATAATTTATCTGGTCAAATTATATGGCAATAAAAAGTATTTATTTTTCTCATATCTATATCAAACAAATTAATATTATTTTTATTATTATTACTTTCAGTCTTTTTAAAACCTATCACTGCTAACGCTGATATTACATTCATTCATAAATCTTCCTTTAACATTCAATGTCCAAATGTTAATTGTTAATCTAATAAAAAAAGATTTTAAAAACAAACAACATTTTTTTATGGTCTCCAACAACTCATACTGATAAATATAAGATTCCTGCAGCTATATACCATTATCATAGTAGTCTTTTAAAATGGACAAAGGGACTATTGAGTCATGGTAGCGGAATAACAATATAATATTCCAGATATCTACCATTTAAATGTGGACAAATGTATGCGTATAACAGCACAATCTTTAATACCTACTAAATTGATGGCCACTTAAATTTTATGTATGTACAAAACGTGGAGGGACAAAATAAAAAGTACCTTAAGTTAAAAAAATAAAATAAAAACATTATAAAATAAAGAAAAATAAGAAAATAACAATTGAAACAATGAATTTTATCTTGTTTGTGGTTTAAGCCACAAAAATACAAAAAGAAAATATAATAATGAAAAATAAAATAAAAAAATAGAATTGCAATTCTTACAATTGTTAAAATTTTCTAAAGAAAACAAATGTATTACAAAGGTCAAACAGTGGTAAAGGTAAAGGATTTTTTATGATTAATCAGATTAATGTAATTGAAAAACATATTTAGGCTTAGGTTAAACATTATATTTAATTATTATTTTTTAATTAAGAAATAAAACTTTGTTTTACACTAGAGTAAACTTTCCGATTTGTTCTAGCCTAAAGTAGAATTTTCTATAATCTTTGCTCTAGCCTAGAGAAATTTCCATAAAATTTTGCGTTAGACTAGAGCATAACTTACTATAAAACTTTGCTCAAGTCTAGAGCAAACTTTTCTATAAAACTTTGTTTTAGACTAGAGAACATTTTTCTATAAAACTTTTCTCTAAACTAGACCAAACTTTTCTATAAAACTTTGTTCTAGAATAGAGCAAAGTTTTCTATAAAACCTTGCTCTAGGCTAGAGCAAACTTTTCTATAAGACTTTGCTTTAGACTAGAGCAAACTTTTCTTTCAAACTTTGCTTTAGACTAGAGCAAACATTTCTATAAAACTGTCCTCTAGACTAGGCAAACTTTTCTATAAAACTTTCTTTTATAGAAACGTTTTCTCTAGACTACGTTTCTATAAAACTTTCCACTAGACTTTTCTATAAATCTTTGCTCTAGATTAGAGCATACTTTTCTATAAAACTTTGCTCTTGACTAGAGCAAACTTTTCTATAAAACTTTGCTTTAGACTAGAACAAACTTTTCTATAAAACTTTGCTTTAGACTAGAACAAGCTTTTCCATAAAACTTTGCTCTAGACTAGAGCAAACTTTTCTATAAAACTTTTCTCTAGACTAGAACAAACTTTTCTATAAAACTTTGGGCTTGACGAGATCAAACTTTTCTATAAAACTTTGCTCTAGACTAGAGCAAAAGTTTATATAAAACTTTGCTCTAGACTAGAGCAAGCTTTTCTATAAAACTATGCTCCAGACTAGAGCAAACTTTTCTATAAAACTATGCTCCAGACTAGAGCAAACTTTTCTATAAAACTTTGCTCCAGACTAGAGCAAACTTTTCTATAAAACTTTGCTCTAGCCTAGAGCAAACTTTTCTATAAAACTTTGCTCTAGACTAGAGCAAACATTGCTATAAAGCTTTGCTCTAGACTAGAGCAAACTTTTCTATAAAACTTTGCTCTAGACTAGAGCAAACTTTTTTATAAAACTTTGCTCTAAATTAGAGCAAACTTTTCTATAAAACTTTGCTCTTAATTATAGCAATCTTTTCTATAAAACTTTGCTTTAGTCTAAAACAAACTTTTCCATAAAACTTTTCTCTAGCCATGAGTAAACTTCTCTATAAAACTTTCTACTAGACTAGAGCGAACTTTTCTATAAAACTTTGCTCAAGTCAAGAGCAAATTTTTCTATAAAACTTTGCTCTAGACTAGAACAAAATTGTTTTGCAAAACTTTGCTCTCGACTGAAGCAAAACTTCTATAAAAATAGCCTTTTGCTCTCGGCTAGAGCAGAATTTTCTATAAAATATCGCTTAGACAAGATCTAAATTTTCTATAAAACTAGAGCAAGCTTTTCTATGAAACTTTGCTCTATACTAAAGCAAATTTTACTATAAAAATTTTCTCTAGACTAGAGCAAGCTTTTCTATGAAACTTTGCTCTAGACTAGAGCAAGCTTTTCTATAAAACTTTGCTGTACACTAGAACAAGTTTTTTTATAAAACTTTACTCTAGCTTAAAGCAAACATTTATTTTTATAAAACTTTGCTCTAGACTAGAGCAAACTTTTCTATAAAACTTTGCTCTAGAATAGAGCAAACTTTTCTATAACACTTTGTTCTAGAGTAGAGCAAAGTTTTCGATAAAACTATGCTCTAGACTAGAGCAAACTTTTCTATATAACTTTGCTCTAGACTAGAGCAAACTTTTCTATAAGTTTTTGCTCTAGACTAGAGCAAACTTTATACAAAACTTTGGTCTAGGCTAGAGCAAACTTACCTATAAAACTTAGGTCTAGACAAGATCAAACTTTTCTACAAAACTTAGGTCTAGACAAGATCAAACTTTTCTATAAAACTTAGCGCTAGTCAAGAGCAAAGTTTTCTATAAAATTTTTCTCTAGACTTGAGCAAACTTTTCTAAAAAGCTTTGCTCTACACTAGATCAAAATTTTCTTTAAAACTTTGCCTATACCAGAGCAAACATGGCTCTAGACTGAGCAAACTTTTCTCTAGACAAGAGCAAACTTTTCTATAAAACTTTGCTCTTGACTGGAGCTAAAATTTCTATAAAACACTAGACTAGAGCATCTTTAGCTATAAAACTTTTCTCCTGTCAACAGCACAATTTTATATAAAACTTTATTCTAGACTAGAGCAAATTTTTTCTATAAAACTCATCTTGATGTTTAGGAAAATTGTTAATATAATAATAAATTATTATTTGAATGTATATAAATTTTCCATAACAGAATTGTTTGCGGATGTAAGAAGACATTTGATTGACTTTATCTCACTTCGAAACAAAAACCAATTAAACTTCTATACCACTGTGTATAACAACAAGTGACCCTTACAAAAAGAAAAAAGTTCTAGAAAGGCCACCACCTCTTATTAATTTCTTACTTGTTATAGCTTACAGTTGTTGTAATTGTTCAAAATGTTCATGTTGTTTGGCTGTTGTTGTTTTTGTTATTGCCATTATATTTGTATTGTTTACGGAACGTAATTACATGGCTTAAATGTTAAATTACAACATTCCAAAAGTAACAAAACAAAAATTGTTGAAAAAATAAAATATTACTACAACAAGTGTAAAGAAACAAAAAATTGGCCCCCAAAAAGTTTAGCTTTCTTTACAATTTATAGAAGAGAGGAATTTTGTTTGGGTAAGGAGAGGAATGAATTGGCCCAGGACTTTGGTTTTACTATTTTATTTTTTTGTATTTTGCTATATTACTGCTGCTAGTGCTGATTACAAACCAAAAATAGTCGTATTATGGCAAACAAATTTATAGATGTATAAGAACTGTTTTTACAAGCAAGTAGGTCTATAATGCTTGAAATTATTGGAGGGTTCTTGGCAAAAAAAAAATGTGTAGAGAAAAAAAGTGTATGTATATATTGTTTGACTTACCACATTGGATCCGTTAAAACACTTTTACCACTGAAACTATAAATGCGTGGTGCTTGTGAAAAGAAACCACCTTGTCCATTAAATATGCCCTTCCATGAATTGAATAGTACATCACCTCGCGTATTCACCACTGGTAGATCGCGGTCTGCGACACGTACAATTGAATCAAGATTTTGTACTCTGCAAGTAAAGATACAAAATGAAATGTATTTAAAAGTTAAAGTAGGTTTTTATATGTTTGTAGGTAAAATTTTCTAATTTATTATAAGAAAATATGTTCTTTGACATTTTAATGGATATTAAAGATGCTTTGCTATTTGTTAATTAATATTTAATTATATTTCATTTGTATTTTATTGACCTGTAGCTCAGTATTATTGGCTAATAAAATTAAAAACTTTACAGAGTTTTATTATAATTTATATGAATATTTTATTAAAGAAAATTAATTAGTTAAGAAAGATTTTTTACATTCCAACGCGCCAAGTTTTTGTATGAAAATATTTAATATAACAAAAAGTAATCTAGGGTTTATAAAACGTTTTTGAGAGTTTTGAATACAACGCAGTTGTTGGTAGACAGCGTAATCTTTAGAAAACAATACATTCCTTAGTTTATGACTTAGTCTTTATAATACTATGAAGTCTTTAGAATATGATGCGGTCTTTAGGATATGAGGTTTGTAGAAACGACGCAGACAGTAGAATACGACATCGAATTTGGAATATAGCATAATCTTTTGAATAATCGGAATAGAATATGGTCTTCACATTAAGATGTAGCTTTAAGAATACTACGAAGTCTACGGAATACAACGTACTCTTTACAATACGACTTAGTTTTTGTAATAAGACGTAGGCTTACAATACAATACAACTTTGCCTTAAGAATACGACGTTATCTTAAAAATACGACATAGATATGAGAGTATGACGTAGTTTCCAGAATACGACAAAGTCTTTGGAATACGATATAGTCATAACAATACGAAGTAAACTTTAGAATACGACAAAGTCTTTACAATTCGAAGAAGTCTTTGAAATACGACTAATTATTTACAATACGAAGTAGACTTGAGAATATGACTCTTTAGAATACGATATAGTCCTTGGAATACGACTTAGTTTTTAGAATACGACATGGTTTTTTATATACAACTTAGTCTTTAGAAAACGTCATTGTCATAAGAATATGACAAAGAATTTGACGTAGCCTTCAGAATTCGTCAAAGTCTTATGAATACAACTTCGTCATTACATTATGACGTTAACTTTAGAATACGAAAAAGTCTTTAGAATTCGACGAAGACATCCTCTTTAGGAATACTACGAAATCTTTGAAATACGACGAAGTTTTAGAAATACGACTAAGTCTTTGGAATACGTCTTAGTCTTTATAATACGACTTAGTTTTTGGAACAAGAAACAAACTTTAGAAAAAGACATAACCTTTAGAATATTAGTTTTCAGACTACTACGTAGTCTCTGGAATACGAATTAGTATTTAGAATACGAGTCTTTAGTATATTTAATATTATTTAGAATACTATGGAGTCTTTAGAATACGATGTAGTCTTTAGTCTATATTTTGAGTATACGACGTTATGTAAAGTATACGTCAATGCAATGCGTAATCTACAGAATACGACGTAACATCTACATATAATGTAGTCTTAACCACACAATTTAAACTTTGGTGTACGATTGTATCTATTAAAAGCTTTAAATGTATTGGGTGTAAGACGCAATTAGGTAAGAAAAAGGCATAGCCTTTAAAATAGCAGTTTCTAGAAAACTACGTATACTCTGAAATACGACGTAGTTTTTAGCATACTTCGTATTATTTAGAATCCTCCGAAGTCTTTAGAATATGATGTATTCTTTAGAATACAACGTCTGTAGGAATAACTACCTGTTATGAGTATACGACGTAATCTAAAGTATACGTCAATGCAATGTATAATCTACAGAAATCAACGTAAACACAGCATATAATGTAGTCTTAACAGCACATCTTAAACTTTATTATTTAACTATTAAAAGCTTTTAAATTGATTGGATGTATAAGTCAAAAATGCGGGATTAAACACGGTATTTATATTTTGCAAATTATATGTAAAATTTTTGGAAATATTACTCCATGAAGATTGTTATTAAACTGTACAAGAGCTTTCCCCTCTGAGCATGTTTCCATGTCATTTCACTCTTCGGCTACTCCTTGGAATGATTTGACATGGTGTCTAACCAGATAACCACATAACCTGGTACTGTGGTTTAAACTGTGGGACTAAGCGTTGGAAATGAGTTGGTGTTAATTATATATGATACAGAATGAATGTAGGGGTATACGGAACTCATCTGTCCGTATACCTAGAGTGAGTCTGTCGTATGTTGTTCTGTTATGAGTGTGTCGGATAAATGCAGGGTCGAATGGTGATGGATGTAAGGTATGTTATACAAGTGATACCATTGAATTTTCCTTCCCTGTCCAGGAATGTTCAGAGTAAACATTGTTCATACCAGATTTACCACAGCGTGTCGCTGTGAGTTTCAGCTTATTTGATGGTTTCGTACCACGGTCTACCGGTTACGTCTCCAGGTGCTGTTGTCGACTAAACGGAAGTGATGTTTTTGCATTACGGAAGTTAAGTAACGGGACAGCAATGATCAGAGATTAGATAGCTGAAGTACTTGAGTAAAGTGCATGTATACGGGATCGGAAATTACGTAAAAACACAATGAGACGATGGTGAGTCGTTACAAAAGCTCACCCACTGGTTGAAAAAGACCACCGTGAAATAGGCCAACACGGCAGGTGTTCACGTAAAGAACTCAACATTAATTTGTACAAGAGCTTCCAAAATCATTGGGACCAATTCATGCAGTAATTTCAAAAAGTTTGCGAACAGAAGGATTCATCCCACAAATTGAAGAGTAGAGACCTAGAAAGATGATTTTGATTGTCCGAATGTTTAAATTCAATGAAATATGGATCCATTACAATAACCTGAAACATAAGAGATTGAAGGTGAAGACCGGCTACACAGTCAAATCGGGACAAAAAAACAAATATCCATGACACTAAGGTAAAGCTCTGTATTTTGGTGGGACCAAAAGCACACTGTCTATTATGAGTGGCATAAATGTGACCAAACCATAACAGGGAACCTGTAACGAATCCAACTGATTCCCTTAAAGTGTGCCTTGGCTAAAAAATGCGTAATATTGAATCATGATCATGTTCTGCCAAATGTTGGAATACCTGTTTAAAACTGTTTAGAAAGTAGTAGTTGTCAAGTTGTATAGTCTAGCCCTTGCCCTGTTCGACTACTATTTGTTTTAATCGATGCACAACGCTTACTGTGGAATACACTTCACTTTTGAGCGGAATATCCAAAATTGCCTTGTTTCAGTTTTGCCCTTCAATCAATGCGCAATTCTCTTGGCGCTATTTTGCCGCTGTTTTTGTATTATAAGTCTACCACCTACAATAAGTCCTATAACAGTATAACTTTCTTTAAAAGTTTTCCGTGTTGGAAAATTTTTAATTAAATTTCTTTACAAAAACAAAACTCTTATAATGATTCAAAAACAAACTTAATACCTTTGATTTAGTTAAGCAAACAATCAGAATAAACAAAAATTATTTTAATTTACTTTTTCAATTACAAGATAACTACAACAACTCAAAATGTTTTATCCTCCCCAACCAATAAAATATCTATTACAAATACTCAATATTTAGCAAAAATAAACAAATTCCTCAAAATAATTTTTAGATTTAATATCTACAATTTATTTAAACAACAAGTTCTTTAGAATTTCAACAACTACAATTACAAAGATTACAGAAATTAAAAACCACATCATAAAACGTGTAATCTCAGGTTGTTTTTCCAAAAATTAAAGAAAAAAATCCTCAACAGACGTTTATTTTTTGAAAAATGCCCAAAAAAAAAAAAAAAAAAAAAACAATGACAACCATAATCACCATGTTTTACAAGTAATATTTACCATACAATTTAAAACAATGACAATCATCAAAACACCCCACATCCTCGAAATAAACCACACAATAGGTCTTATAAAAAGGACAACAAATAATTTATAATGAAATAGAAATAAGAAAAAGAAAATTTAAACATAGAAATTTAAAACAATTTCTTGCAATTTATATTTTTTCATCACCTCGAAAACAAAACCATTAAAATAAGGAGACTCATTTAATCTAAGTAAACTGTCGTGTCTTTACTGTTAAAAGAGAAATACTTTTTATATATTTTTTTTCTGTAATCTCTACTAGTACGCGATATCATCTAGTTTTAAGTGGTGTTTGTCTGCTTGTTAAAATTTCTATGGTAGGGGACAGATTATGCTTTCTTATAGAATAAAAACTACATGGTTTTGGTATTATTGTTGTTAAGTTGCGACTTAAAGCTGCAATAATGAGTTGAGATAAAACTTATGTTTTCTTTTTAATTTTTTTTCTGCTGTTTGGGTCCTTTTTATTATTTTAAATTTCTTTGGTATGTTTGTTTTTTCTGTTTTATATCCATCACATTTTATCTGGAGCAGAACAGTAGAATAGTAATTGGAACAAGTAGTTAGGTTGTTTTTGAGGGGGTTTCAGATGAAAATATAAAATATGTTTTATAGGATTTTAATAGGAGGAGAGGAAAAATCGAGATTAATAACAATTAAGCCAAATATTTGCTTAGCTTAAGTAATTACATGAAGTCCAGATTGGTATAGTACGTATCAGGTATGGAAAATATAAATATTGAAATATTTCCAACTTTTACTGAAATAGTATCTTTTTAGGTTAAGAAGTACTAAACCTGTTTTCCAGTGGTTAAAAGAATAGAACACTAGCAAAACTACAATCCAGATTATACAATAGACTATAGTAGACTATAGACTTGACTATAGACTAGACTATAGACTAGACTATAGACTAGACTATAGACTAGACCATAGACTATACTATAGACTAGACCATAGACTAGACTATAGACTAGACGATAGACAAGACTATAGACTAGACTGTAAACTAGACTATAAACTAGACTATAGACTAGACTATAGACTAGACTATAGACTAGACTATAGACTAGACTATAGACTAGACTATAGACTAGACTATAGACTAGACTATAGACTAGACTATAGACTAGACTATAG